TTTGTTTTTCTTTTTAAATTCAGATTAAATCGTGTTTTTATTATATTTTTTGTTATTTTCTATATTTTGTTTTGTAACATGTGAGTTCTGCGCGACTTCTTAAGTTTTTTATTTTATTTTTTTTCCATCAGTTAAATTCATTTCTTTACAATATACATTATAAATACGTTTGATTATCTTCATAAATAGTTCATATAATAAATTTCGTTTGGATACAACAAATGCGAGTATTGAGAGTCAAGCCAAACAGGAAATCAAAAATTTTGCTGTGTACACATTACTAGAAAATATTACGCATTGTTTATTTGTATTGTGTTTTTTTAGATTGTGTATCTCTTCTTTTTTGTTTGTGTTTATGTGAGTTTTGATAATATTTTTTTCGTGTTTATATTCTGGTCTCGCATCTGTTAAATACTTCAATGCCTTTGGCGACCTTAATAATTACGTTGAATAAATAAATGAGTTTGAAAGTGTGTGTATATATATATATAGGAGAACGTTATTTTCTAAATGTTATGTAACTTCTATAGTATTTTTCTTTTTTTGTTTTTGTTTTTTTGATTTTTTCTTTTTTACTCTGTATGTGTTGTAGCACTTTTGTTTTTTTTTTTTTATGGGATTTTTTTCTTTTTTTTTTTGGATTTTGTTTTTAGTTTTCTGCAATCTCTCGGCAGCATGAAAAATAACAGCACCATTTCCCAGCATTCTCCGTTTACCACTGATTCGAGGGGCGACGCTCAGCTCCGGGCGCAGCGCTGCCGGAGAATCGCGGCGAGGAGCTCTGCGAGGAGCTGCTGCTGGGCAAACTACTGCAGGCGGCTTCGTTAGCCAGAAGCGTATGAATGGCCGCCAGCAGCTTCTTGCGAGCTCCAAACGCCGTTATGCCCAGCTCCATGAGATTCTCCTCTGTCAGTGTTGGAAACATTTCCAAATCGATTTCGTTCAAAACGAAAATTTCTACAGAGAAAAAGAAAGCAAAAGAAAAAATTAAATAAAAAGAAAATTGAGAGACAGCTCATAAAAAACAAGAAAGAAAAAATTATAACAAAAATCTAAGAAGGAAAATGTACAAAAAAAAAGATTATAAATATATATAAACGAAAAAAAAGAGTTACATAAAACAAAAACTCAAAAAAAAAAAAAAAAAAACTATAAGCAAGACAAAATACAAAAAAAAAAAAATAAAATAAAAAAGAAACTAGATAATGAAATGAAC